ATTCTTCAAATGTTTATTGTATAAATAAATAATTCTAACAGTGCTTTGTTCTAAGACTCTTCACTACTTAATATCAACCAAGTACAAAAGAGGTAACCTGTGGTTTGAAGGGAAGAAGGGAGAAGAGAAAAAAATAAAAATGGGTTGAGATCAATGTGTAGGGGGAAGTTCTGGGGCCCGTCCTGGCCCATGAGCTCTGTACCCTTCCCTTTCCTCCATCACATCTGGACCCCAGGATCCACTCTCGCAGACTTCACTACCTGCAGTGCCTAGGAGCTATGCCACCAGAGATGGTTTAAATTTAAACCTCAATTTGTATGGCTTAATGGCTCTACCCTGCAGTTCTGCTCCCTGCTTAAACAAAATGCAACACCCTCTTGGTTTCTCCTGCTCTGCTGCTCTCCCAGGCTGGAGAGATGTCACTATTCCCCCAGGCCTAAGGCTGGGACATTCTACCTGCTGAGCACAGAGCAGCTGGTGAACTCACTACCAGCCAGGCTTCACTCAGCCCTGACAGACAAGCATCAATACCATACCCTACTTCCTGCAAACTGGCCTTGGTTCCTGGCTATTGGCCATTATCCTAGATTTCTCCCAGCATGCCAGACGCCTGGATACATGTGGAGGGTTACTGGTGTAGAAAATAAGGAATCAGTGTAGGGATGTATGATGTACAATAAAACGGCGAAACTAGGTAGGGATTTTGAACAATGTGGTGATACATGTACAGTGTAACTCATTCTGTATGTGGAGGAAGGGTAAGAGGACACTCCATTCTCTTGTGAATGGTTAACAGGCCATCCACGGGCTGGCCAGATAAAGGAACTCAATGTGCAAGGCTGTCAGTGTGAGTGTCATCCACAGAAGTCACAACTGGTAGCAGAGTATGTATGTACCTACATTCACACACGTGCACACACACACACACAAATAATAACCACACTAATACTACTGGTAGTAGTAATACATATTCTAGTAAAGATTTAATCCATGAACATTGACTCAACCATATTAGCACACACTTAGAGGCTCTTTGAATTGTAATTCTGGGTAACAACCCAAAGGCTGTGTGAGAGAACACTTTTCAAGTAAATTATTCAGCCTTTTAGAGAAAGCATCAAATGTTCATTAGGTTAATATCCATGGTATCATTTCAATTCAAAAGATCCACATTGGAAGGGTCCCTGGGACACTGGGGAGAATGTGGGAAATTATAATTACACTGCTAACTCTGCCACAGGGAAAGTGTACATCGATTGGGTAATCAATAATCAATATTGCACAAACAGTAGTTAACCAACAAATATTAGCTATGGAAGTGGATGACGAAATTAATCTTGTGTAGGTGGAAATTGACAGCCAGTATGTGACAGAAAATGATTATGACTTCATTCCTCTTAAGCATGGACTTGGTATTTACTCAACATGAACTGTCTTGACATACAAAATGGTCATTAGTAACAAACCAGAATTAGAAATTTTGTGCAGGTAGAACTGTTGAGCAACTTAAGAAAAGCTGCTGCTAACCTAGGACCACTAAATATTTTATTCCTATTTGGGCACACCTAGAAAGTATAAAAAATGTATAAAAAGCCAAAAGAATTTGGGGGTAGAGAAGGTCCAAAGAATGTGTCTCACTTTCATTCCAGGCGAGTGGCTCTCCATGTATTTCATCCCAGGCTGAGTGTTGAGTTTTCATTTGGCAATGCTTAACTACTCTCAACCTGGCATAGAGTCCTCAAGGATAATGTATAGAGTTGGAATATTAATACAAATAAAAGTGTTTCATAAAGAGTTTTTTATCATAGATGCAGAAATGATTGAAATGACAAACAGATAATGATGCAAAAAACATTAATTTGCACTATTAGGAATTGTCACTCAAAATATATTATGCTTCAGGTGCTTTCACAGACAAATACACAAGAAAATAGAAAATCCTGTAGACAACACCCTGGACAGTTTCAATCATGAGGCTCTGCTTCATGTTAGTTACTATAGAAATGGAACAGACATTATCTAAAGCCACAGGTTATAAAGTTTGTTCTTGTTTATTATATAATCTCCTGATGGATCTGAGAAATTAGTTCTTTAATTCTAGTGGTTTCTTCCTACTAATATACTTTTCCATAAGAGTTAAGGCTGTGCATGATGACTTCTATTGTATTACACATTCCAAAATACCGGTGTGTAGAACCTTATGCATACAAGACATCCTTATTGCAGGTGACTGAGCATGGACTGTAATGTTTTCAAAGACTGATTGACTTTCAGACGCAAGGAAAGACCTATGAACCTGAGCATAACCCAAGGGTAGCATAAGACGGTAATGGACTCATGCTCCCCAGATTTGCTTTTTTCTATCTATGGTCAGACTCTACGAATACCAGGGAAATGAACGAGAGGAGGCAAATACATGCAGTGATGTAGATGATGCTTTTCTTAACTTATTTTCAAGAGTCTCAATCTGCTTTGATAAGCTGAAAGGACACATAATGCTTGTTCTTCATTGGATAATTGGAAGCTCTTAATTACAAACAGCAATGAGAGGATCTCAAAGATTTGTTATAGGAAAGTCAAAATCCAGTGCAGAGAGCTCAGAATGTTCCTTATGTTTCATTTTTGAATAAAACATTCCAAACATCAAGTTTGTACTTGAAAACAATTTTGGCAATTCCAGAAGTATATGAATGAATTTAAAATTATTGATAACCTGTTTTAATGCAAAAACAGTACTGTCTTAAAAACTTGTAATTTGCCTTTACGATATCTCTGAGTTCCTAGATTTACAGTTCAGAAACTGTAAATCGTGATGAATTTGGCAGGCATGTAGAAAAAGACAATAAAACTTATACATTTGGGACACAGAAAATTGAGTCTGTCTATTTTTTCGATGACTACACAACTAAATGTCATACTATTGCTTAGATGTACCTTCTACACTAGGCTAGAAGAGCCATAAAAAGTGTAAAGCCAGTCTCTAGAGCCAATTATTTTTCCTCATACCAGCCATGCACATGAACATTTAAACAAAGCCACTTGAGAGCAGAAAAGTGATCGTTATGGCAGGTGTATACATGCAGCTCATTGCTCACTCAACCTTCTCTCCTCTTCCTCTACAGTAATCAGAATAATTGTTTTTGATGAGCATATTGCTCCCTAAAACCAAAAATTGCTAGGAATGAATATCTTACCAAAGTCAGTATAATGTGATATTTAAGGGAAATCTGCTTAAAGATAAAAGAAAATCGACTCATCCCTGAAGATAACTTTTAACAGTTTCTGCCTTTTTTTATCCATCCTTGTCCACACTTTATTTATGATAGCTTCCAGCACCAGCACCAGCAGTGTTTAAAACCTTGGGGTATTGAAACAGAAAGCTAGGAGAGGAGAACAGAAAAGTGTTTAAAGCTTGATGATACCATGGATTACTGTGCAACCCATCCAGGGTATCTGCAGCATGTGTTTATGGGAAACACAAATGCATCTCTAATCTTTAAAGTATAAGTGTTTGGGGGCTCTTCTCCATTATGAGTAGCTAAAGCAATTTTAACTAATAAAATTGGTTGACTCGTTCTTTAAAAATAATTAAAAGCAATAAATGAATCATCTAACTAATTTGTTGCCACGAGTTGATAAATGTACTCGTGCAAACTCCATTTTAAAATTACACTTTACCTATTAGTCAGGTCTCCTAAAATACTGGTGGGTCTTGGAAGAAAATCACTCCTATGGGCAATTTGTCTGAAGAATGTTTCTTCATACACTGTACTGGGTGGGAGCGCAGGGAATAATCAAGATTCCAAGCCCTAAGGAAAATTGTCCCTTCTGAGTCTCTAAAACTACAGTAAAATGTACAATGAAAAAATAATTCTGTAGAGTTTATTTTTAAAAATAATTTGTGGAAGACAAAATAAACAGTTATTAATCCCCTACTCTTCTATCTCATAGCAGACATTCTTGCTAAATCATCACAACACTTTAGAAAGGGAATGCCACTCGGGTTGTATTTTGGGGAAGGCATGGGGTGTTAAGTAGCTCTTTCATCCTGTTTACACAATACCCAACTTCAATCCCACACTTTCGCGTGCTAATATAGGACATGCACGGACATGTGACAGAATGGGCAGCATTTTCAACTTTAAAGAGTTTTTTCATCATTCCAAATTCAAAAGGTTCCATTAAAATTGAACAATGATATTTTTATTTCTAAGGCCAGGACATATTTAAGAGCCTTAAAGCAATGCACAGCCCTACCTACTCCCTGCCAACTATGTGAGAAAGAAAACCAATACCAAAACAGGGAGGAGGGAGGGGATGTGGGGAAAGAGAGAGACTAAGCCAATACTGAACATCTGGATCTACTGTGACAATGACCCTACCCTAACAGTCTCTCCCCGGCATAGTAGACATACTGCACCTACAAAAGCATTCTTATTCCCAACCTGGAAAAAACAAACATAGTTGCTGCGGATTCTAGCATATAAAATTCTGCAGTGTGGGAATCTCTCCCTCTTCTTTCACTTTGAAGACTTTCGCTTTCTTCTCTGACCTAACACAAAAAGTAAAGCATCAAAAGTCATTTCTCTTGTAGTTTTCCAAAGAAGTGGATGAGATATTAAGATCTCTAGGCACAATGTCATGAAAAGCAACACCAAGCAATTATGATTAAAAAGAAAAGAAGACGGAGCCTCCAAACATGCTGGCATCTTAGCATTCATATGAGCACCAACGCTCGTCTTCTATGTGTGTGCTCATGTCAAGAGATGATAGCCTCTGTGTGTGTCCCTTACATCAGAGATGACAAGAAGAAGAAACAGCTAAGAGTAATTCTTCAAACCAGAGCATTTCCACTACAAATATTTTCTGGGATGTTAGTTTTGCAGTTAGTAACTATAGAAAAATTAGCTTGCTGTAAGTATCAGAGAGCTTGCTAATCATCTTCTCGTTAATGTAACAAAAATGCATTTGAATGAAGTTAAGTCAAGTTCAGGACTTACCACCTCCTCCTCCAAGAAGACTGGCATTTGCTGTTAAGGAAAAGAAAAGAAATTGTACTTTAAAACATAGGAGACACAGTGTAGCAGAATAGTTGAAACAGAAACTAGTAATGATCATGTATCTTACTTGAAGACATATATAGAAAATATGAATTTTCATACAAAGACGTTATCACTGAAAATTAATGTTTCCCTACTTTATCTCCTTTTTCTCTTCAAATACTTCAAATACTTACATTCATATATTTCCTTGTAACCAAGTTAAGTACACACACACACATATATATATACATATGTATACATATGTATATATATGTGTGTGTGTGTATATATATATAGCTATGTTCATATATTTCCTACTAACCATATACAGGGCTATGTTCATATATTCCCTTGTAATCAATTTAAGTACACACACACACACACACACACACACACACACACACACACATATATATATGGCTATGCTATGTTCATACATTTCCTTGTAACCAAGTTACAAGTACACACACACACACACACACACACACACACACACACATATGTCTATGATCACCTGTTTCCTTGTAACCAAGTTAAGCACATATTGAAAGTCTTTTATTCCTCATCTATATCTAAATTGATCTTCTGAGTTTTCCATTTTATAAAATGTAGATACAACAAAACTACTTAGGCAATTTCAGTGATTTCAATGGACAATGTAACAAGAAAATATAATGATAATTTAAGTTAAATTAAACATCATCAAACAAAACAATCTCTAGAAATTTTGCTGCAATAAGAAGTCAAACTTTTACTAAAGCAACAGGTTTATTTTTTTGTATAGACTCTATTTTGGAAAACGATAGAAACGTTAAATAGTGATATGTGAATTCTCACCTATTTATTCAGAAATTTAGCCTGTATATTCCTGGAAGGCGAATAAATATAAGATAATTCCAAGGAATTTATATCATCCACTTTAAGGCTAAGGGGATACAGTGAGAGAGGGGAAAGAAAGAGTACAAGAGCCAGAAGGGAGAGAGACAGGCTGAGAAATGCTATTTTTTAGGCAAGACAGAGACATTGCAATCATGAACCCACAACTGCAGGTGTCTGCTCTATATCTGAACAAGAAGGGACAGGCAGCATGGATGGAGAAAGGGTCCTCAGTGGCGATATCCTTCAGTAATGAAACACTCATGCACAGAGTCCGGCAGATGGGCAGTCATTAGTGTCAGTTGTGAGCCCACTAATGACCTCAGCACTCTGGTAGAGAGTTCCATCCAGTGGTCATATAGATGTCCCTGGTTAAACTAAATGGGTCACACATAAAACCTGAAGTCCAGAACCCATGGAAGAGCTTGGGAGAGAAAAGGAGGGTGATAGGGATGGGGGAAAGATAGAAAAGGTCCACACAGAGTAATCAGAATGCATTGTATACACATAAGAAATAGTCAAAGGACAAAATCGATAAAAAGAAAAAAATTTAAAATACAGTTGGGCTGCACTCAGGAAGTAAAATTGTTTAACAGCTGTGTTGCAGACAAATGGATGCAGTATTAAACAGTGCTATGCTTATATTTATTCAAACAAAGACCTTAAGGTTGTCCACTCTCTCCATATCTATTCAATATAGTTCTTGAGGTCCTAGCTAGAGCAATAAGACAACAAAAGGAGATCAAGGGGATACAAATCAGAAAATAAGTCAAACACTCACTATGTGCTGATGATATGATAGTTTACAGAAGTGACCCCAAAAATCCTACCAAAAAAACTTGTACAACTTTCAGTAATGTATCAGGATGCAAGATTGACTCAGAAAAATCAGTAGCCCTCCTTTACACAGATGATAAATGGACTGAGAAAGAAATCAGAGAAACATCACCCTTCACGATAGCCACAAATAGCATAAAATATCACAAAGTAACTCTAGCCAAAAAAGTGGAAGACCTGCATGACAAGAACTTTAAATCTTTAAAGAAAGAAATTGAAGAAGACACCAGAAAATGGAAAGACCTCCCATGCTCTTGGATAGGTAGAATTAACATAGGTAAAAATGGCAATCTTACAAAAGCAATCTACAGATTCAATGCAATGCCCATCAAAAATCCCAGCAAAATTCTTCAAAGACCTCAAAAGAACAGTACTCAACCTCATATGGAAAAGAAAAAAAAATCCCAGGATTGCCTAAAAATAAGAATAAAATGAAGGAATATTGTAAAAAAATGTCTGATACTTAAACAACTGCTTAAATTCATTCTTTACAGTAAATGTATTCATTCTATGTATCTCATTATTATTTAGAATCAGGGGTAGGGTACAGGCACACACTTGTGTTGGTCAATGTACAATTTGAGATCATTGGTTGTCTCTTTCCACTGCGTGAGTCTCTATAATCAAATTCAGGTAGTAGCCTAGACTGTGCGCATCTCTTTCCACTGAACCATCTCACCGGCATTTCCTTTTAAATGTTTATTTATTTGTTTACTTATTTATTTATGTATATAAGTATAACACCTGCATGTAGGTCTGCACATCAATTGCATGCCTGATACACAAGGAAGCCAGAAGAGGGTGTCAGATTCTCTGAGGCTGGAGACACAAGCAGTTTCTACCATTTGAGGGCTGAGAACTAATCAGGTCCTCTGGAAGAGCAGTCAGTACTCTTACCCAGTGAGCCATTTCTCCAGCCCCAGTAGCATAAGAAAAAAAAAAAAAAAACTTGAATGCTTCTTGAAGTTCATGAGTCTGAAAGAATGCAGTCTTATCTCCACAGTATTTATTTGTTTTCTAGATTCATTTCTATCTCGCCCTAAACTATCTTGTCAAACGAGCAACAGGCTGGGAGACTAGTCTCTAAACACTGATCAAACGTGTTTGCGCAGGGCTTTTGTTTGCTTTTCATCGTATTATACAGGAAATTACACTTGTTTTCATCTGAACAGAATCCGGACCACCTAGCTCTGTATATTTATTCTGATTTCTTATTACAATAGAGCACATGAGATGTCAAAATTATTGTGGGCAGCAACTTTCTCAGGAGCTCTGCTTAGAATACCAATTTCATTCACGACATGCTATTACCAAAGGAATGCTGTCTTTATAATGGCACAGATTTTATTTTCTATACTTTGAAGCTCAAAGTAGGAAGTGCTTTAAAAAATTAAAATCCCAAGCACGTGTCTGACTCTAGAACACTTCATGTCAGGAGTGACCACCACTGACAGCTGTGGAAATACACGCCACACAGACAAATGCAACCATCAGTTTGGCAACAGCCTTGGGTTCACACTTCACTAGATTTACACCTTCCAAACAAATTCTACAGAATGCCAGAGGTTAGGGACAGCAGTATGACTGCCTGCTTTGAAGTTGACAAAGAGAAAATTAAGAGTAGGCTTAAGTGCTTCACATGTAGAAAACAGGCAGAGACACATAAGGAATACTTTCCATTTCATTCTTCCTGCAGAAGTCAAAGGAACCACTGCTTATCCCAGGGTCTGTGTTGTAGAAACTGGAACTCACCTTGAAGCCAAAGGTACAACACAAAATTTGTTTCAATAAAACCAGCCAATACTTTAAAAAAAAAAAGACTACTCATCGGGTGGCGGTGGCTCACACCTTTAATACCAGCACTAGGGAGGCAGAGGTAGGCGGATCTCTGTGAGTTCTAGGCCAGCCTGGACTACAAGAGTTAGTTCCAGGACAGACTCCAAAGCTACAGAGAAAAACCATATCGAAAAAAAAAAAAACCCTACTGCACAGTTCCCTTGTTTCTTATTATATCTTCCTTATAATAATATATACCTTCAATTTCTCTGTGCAGTGAAAGTTTTGAAGGATTTCTTTTATATCACACTGTAATTTAAGTAAATAAGTCAAAGAATACTTCTCAGTTATAGCAATGGATGAAAAGATTGAAACACAAAGCACTTCCAAAGGAAACGATATGGGACTAGTGGGCTTCCTTTCAACAATTTTGAAGTTGAAAAATCCATGAAGGCAGAGGTCACATTTGTTGGAATCAGCAAACGATGCGTGATTCATGACACCATGTATTGGATAAATATTTATTAAATGTGTAGTAGAATGAATGGAAGATGAGGGAATGGGAGAATGAGACAATAAAGCACATTTTGGGGAAAAACCAGAGGGCCACAGTTTTGTATCTGAGTGCAACTATGTTAGGATGGAGCCAAGCGAAGTTAGATCCAAAGCTGGAGTCTCTTCATTGACCTTGAGCAAGTTCTCAAAGTCCAATTGATCAGCTAAGCTCTGAGAGTCTCTGTTTGCTCATCAATGGTTTGATAAAAATAACAGCCATGTTGCAGCTTCGTGCCGAAGAGTGAGAGTGGTGAGCTAAGTGACTGGCACCCTGGCATCTGACATGCCAAAGCTTCTTTCTATATGGTCACCTCCTTAAGCTGGGATCGCTAATACACTGCAATCTGACCCATATCATTAAAAGCATCACGAACTAGCCTAAACTCTTGCAAAGTAATGGGCCATTCCATATCAAGAACTGCATTGCCCTAGCCACACTATAACCTGCTCTGCTCTACGCTGTCACTAGGGTTGGTAGAGGAAGGTAGGACTTCGAGCGAAGAAGAGACCTTTATAGATTTCTTTTGATATTTTTATTGTTATTTATTTATTTAAATAGCATATTTTTATTTATTTTACATACCAACCAGTTTCCCCTCCCTTCTCTCTTCTGGTTCCCTCCATTGCCCCATCCGCCCCTCCCCCCCCTTCCTAAGTTCTATCTTTGAGGCAAGGTTCTTTAAAGATCCAGTTCTCAAAGAGTGGATATCAGTATTTCTCATATTTTAACGGTTTTCTTTCTTTCTTTCTTTCAGCTTATGCTGATTTCATTTAAAAAGACATATGATATCTTATGCCCCCCGCATCACTTTGCGAAGTCCATTTTCTGTGTGCCTCCTCTTACTTTGGCTCTTGCTGGGTTTAGCCATGGGTGCCCTGGCATGAGATGGTGAGTTAAGAGAGAGTGCCTGGCTCACTTTTTGAAGGCTGACTGTGAGCGGATT